CATTGAAGTTAGGATTAGCTAATGTAATATTTTTTGGAATGTTCCATGAACTGATATTGACACATTGTGTTGGTTGTGGAGCAATGATATGTGGTAACACAATTGCTTCTAAATTTGTATTGAAATTGCTATTCATTGATTTAAAGACAGTGCTGATTCTTTGACGAGCACCCTTTGTGGTGTTACCAACTCCATTAATACGCATTGATGGTGCTTTTGGAGTTATTCCTAGTCGATGAGCTACCCTCTCGGTCATTAAATTAACTTGAGAACCTGAGTCTAATAATGCTCTACATTGAATTTCTTGGCCGTTATGTGACAATAATCTTATAGTTGCTGTTCCTAAGTATACATATTGCTGTTCATTGTCCTTTCTTGCAATAGTTAATGATGCTTAATGATCAGTGTTCAAACCTGTGCTTACATTGCGTTGAGTATTGTTAGACTTTGGTATTGTTGTTTGTTTTTCAGTGCCATTAATCCATGAGTTTACATGTAGTAAAGAGTTGTGTTTTTGATTACATTTGATACAATTGCCTGATTTACAGTTGTATGCTATATGACCTGGTCTCAAACAGTTACGACATAAGTTTTGTTTTTCAACAAATTCTAGTCGTTCAAAAGTATTTGCTTGTAAGAACCCTTTGCATTGGTATATTGGATGTAAATCTTGCTTACAATATATGCATGATTGCCTGGTTGATTTGTTGATTGTTGCGGTATTACATACCTTTACGTTATTATTGGTAGTACTCTTTTGGCCAATTGCTTCCAGAGTTTGAAAACGTGTTTCAATGAAACTTAGAAACCCTGTCATTGATTGTAATTCCCTTGGCCTTGCCAATGATTGCTCATACAACGTATGTGTAGTTGCATCCAGCTTCTTTATTAATAAATGAAGGAGGAGTGGATCCCAATGAACTGTTTGAACATTTAAGTTATTTAATGCCAACAAACATTCATGTATTACATCATGTAGTGACTTCAGAGACATTGCAGTGCCAGAGCATTGAGGTTGTCCGAGCAGCCGTTGTATTAACATGGTTGTTAATATCCTCTTATTCCTGTATCTCTCCTGAAGTATCTTCCATGCTACGTCGTAACTATCATTGGTAGTTGGTAGATGTCTGATGAGCCTCTCTGCTTCTCCTGATAAATTATTTTTTAAAAACCACATCTTTTGTTCATTGGGTAGTGATTGGTTGTCTACCATTTGAGAGAACATATAAAATTGTGTCCATTTAAGATAATCTCCGTCAAATCTCGGTATAGACACCTTCGGTAATTGAATTGGATTGTTAGTTACCTCTGTTGTAACTACATGTGGTTGTTTTGTTATTATCAGCTCAGAAATTGAAATCAAAGTTTGTTGTATTAATTCCTCTAATTGTTGATATTCGTCTATATTGTAACCAATTGATAGTGGGTCACTCGTGATTTCCCATATATTAAAATTGAGTTTCTCAATTTCTTGCCACAACTTGTTGATTTTTATTTTGTATACTTCCAACGCAGTGAACGTGTTTGATCCCAAATCTCCTTGGACCTTCTCCAATAGTCGTTTTAATGATATTTTCATTCCCATTTGCTTGTTAATGAGACATGAAACTTCTGTTTGTTTAGATGATTGCGACTTCTTGCCGGGATTTGCTTCATCACTGAACGCCTGCAGTTGCTGAGTGAATCGAGCAATGTAGCATTCTGCTAAGTCTTTAGTTTTTAAATAATCCTCATTAGTAAAATATTCATGAGTGGTTTCGACATCTGACAACTCCCTGATACGGTTGTCATTCTCTTCATATTCAAACCATATATTAATTAAACGCCTTTTACGTTCTTCAAAGTAAGCCTTATTCAATTTCCTTTCTTTTGGATCCTTTTTGAAATTCGAAATCAATTTCTGGATTAATTGACCCAGTTGTTGCTGTTCGAGAATTAACTCCTCGAAAGTTTCCATAGTTGTTTCCAGCAAATCAGGTACCTTGGTGCTTGTAATGTGTTCGCAGCTCACACTGTTGTGCTCTTGCTTTTGCTTTTTTTTTATCTGCTTGAAGCTCACACTGTTGTGCTCTTGCTTCGATGCCTTAATGAAGTAGTACGTGATCGTGATCTTTGGTCACGTCCTTGATTTACGTCGATCACGTCGGGGTCACCAAAATTTTATGTATATTTGAAAGGCCTTAATTCTTATAATATTCAATAAGCACTTTAACTTATTGAATATTCCTTATTGGTTATAGATTAAGCACTTGAAACTTACTCTATATAAAGCAGAATTAGGTTTGACCAGAATCAAAAAATAGTTTTCATTGATTGATTACTTTCTTTATTGTTTCAATTTATTTTATACAATTTTTTGTGCAATAATTTTATTAATAATAATTATACCTCAGCAACAAATTAATTGGAACACTGTTAATAATGCATAATGCAACGTTGCATATTTCACCGTTGCTCCAGTTAAGTTGTTGCCTCAGCTTAACATTCAAAATAAATTATTTCACAATTGCTAAATTGCTTAAAATATAAATTGAATGACACAATTTAACAAGGTGAAATAATTTATTTATTACTTAATTTCTACCTTAACATATATATTAAGTACAATTCACCAATAGTAATAAATTAACTAATAGTTAAGATTGTACTATTCATATCCAATAAAAAGATGTTTTAAAAAAAAAAATTTTTTTTCTTAAATTGGTTTATGAAGATAAACACAAGAAATAGTTACAACAAATTTGCCTAGGGACTACCTAGGCTGATCAGAATGAAAGAGTGAAAATTGCATGTGTAATAGAAATGGCTTCGTGAGCAATACTCGAATGAATAAATAAATGGATAAACTAGTAAAACTATACAACAAATGGATGAGCTAGTGAAACTATAAAATAAATAAACCAGTAAACTATAAAAAAATTGCAATAAATATATAAAAGAATAAATAATTAAATTAATAATAATAAGTAATTAATTAAGTAAACAAATGAGTTAATTATAAAAATAACTTAATATAATAAGTAATATAACACAGTTAAATTATAGTATAAAGAATTAGTGCTGTTCACATTATTCGAAGTTTTTAATAATTCGAAGTTCTTCGAATATTCGAATATTCGCATTTCAACGAAGTCTTCGAAGTTGAAAAAAACTTCGAAGTTTTTGTGAATTTTTGTTCTCGAAGTCTTCGAATAAATAAAAAATTCACATTATTATTTATATTTAAAAAATTATATTTATGAAAATTTTTAATATAATATAAAATACATGAAAATTTGATGGAATTTCTTTTATAGAATTTTGCTTATACACTAATTTACATTTTATTTAGATACTTTCTTATAATATTATGTATTTCTTTTCCTAGAATAAAGGATTTAAAAATTTTCCATAAACAGTAAAATAACTGTAACTACAACAAAACATTCAAAATTTTATAATGCAAAAATAAATTTGCGCTTACCTGCGTGATCATCACAGCTCATACAGGTCAAAAAATTAGGCATTAATGAGCAAAACTCATTTTTCCATAACTAATTTTCAAGGTTTTAATTTGTGATTTTCTTTTTAAAGGAAAATGAAAATTTTTATAAAATTCCATTACTAATAAAATCCATCAATATCAATATTTTCATATTATTACGTATATATATTTATATTATATTAAAAATTTTCTCAAATATGATTTTTTAATATATAAATATAAATATAAGTTATTTAAAATGTAAATTTTTTATTTAATATAAATAATATTTAATAATAACATATTTAATAATAATATATATTATAATACATATTTAATAATAAAATAAATATTTATGTAATAAAATAAAACAAAAAAACATGTTTTTAATTTTCTGCATAGAATACCAAAAAAAAAAAAACATAAAACCGTACAAACGAAGCAAATGCTTTCATCCCTCAAATAATTTGTGTGATGCACGTTTGTTTGCATTTTGCGCTCTCACTTCACCTTTTGCTTACGAAGTCTTCGAAGTTTTTCACTACATTTAAACTTCGAAGACTTCGAGAACAAAAATTCACAAAAACTTCGAAATTTTTTTCAAATTCGAAGACTTCGTTTACTATTCGAATATTCAAATTTGTTTGAATACTTCGTAAATTCGAATATGAACAGCACTATAAAGAATAGATAAACTAGTAACCAATAAAAATATTGCAATAAATAAATAAGTGTGTAAGTAAATAAATAGATAAACCAGTACAACATAAAATAAGCCAAATAGATTATAAAATAAGTAGTAAAACTATCATGAATAAAGTATAAATTAATTAAATAATGATAATAAATGTAATGCAATAATATAATAATAATAGATAATAACATAATGAAAAAAAACTATCGTGAGAAGTCCAGACCTCTTTTTAATATTGTTAAAAACATTATATAATAATAATAATAAGAAATATAATAATAAAAAAGATTTAATAATAGTAATAATAAGAAATATAATACACAAATAAAATATATAATAGATAATATCATAATGATAAGGATATACAATACAATATTAATAACAAATATAATAGGTTATATAATGTTAAAAAAGTATAGATATAATTTATATACAGTATATCTGTAAGTTGAGACATAGATATAAGTTAAGACATAAAAAAGTGGCACTTAACATCAATAGTGTCGTTTTACCGAGGCCACTCTTGCATACTGGATAAATTTGCAGTTGCCAAAGCTCTAGTCTATTGATAACTAAAATTAAATTTAACTCGACTGTACATGCATGAATCACGCACTAATGCAGCCTGTGGAATCATACACATATTGTACACAATACAAGATTAGGCGATTGAAGTGTTAACAACTAGATCTGGTTATTTGTAAATCTGTCAAACTGATATTGCCAACTACGTGAAATTTATACGAAAGACAGCTGTTTATTAATAGTGTGATTGAGTTATATTTAGCTGGAAAATCACAATCAGCTATTGTTCGTGAGCTCAAACACCTCAATGTGAATGAAATGTTTATGGATCGTACCATAAATCGTTATAATAGTAGAAGCTGCGGCGCTAAACGCTATGGTGGACAAAAAAAAAACAGCAACATCACTGAAATGATTCGGAAAATGAATGTTCGCCTTGAACGAAATACACGTTATAGTGGTAATCGAATGGTCAAAGACTGAAAATATCTCAGCGAAGCATCCGAAGCATATTCCAAAATTTTGTGGAATGCTGAATTGAGGTTGCTGAGAACTGCATCCAGAAAACTCTTTTACAAGACAAGTAGCAGCCAGCAAGAAGAAGACTGGAACATTTACATAGCCAGTTTTAATGCATAAAAATGTAAAATTGAAACTGCAAAGTGGAACTCCTGGCACAGTTCTGTGGAACTCCCGAGACTGTCAAGGAAAGGCTTCGAAAACGGCAAATACTTATCAACGATTAGTGAGCTCCTAGAATCGGCACTTGGTGAAATTTTCAGTTGGGCTAAAAGTTTAGGGGTTAATCCTACTAAGACAGAGCTTGTTCTATTCACGCGGTAAACTAAAATACCAACATTCACCTTCCCCAGACTAGACGGAAGTGCATTGAATCTTTCTTAGGAGGCTAAATATCTTGCCGTTGACCTTAATTCCAACCTTAATTGGAGAAGGAACATTGAGGACAGAACTAAGAAAGGACTACCTGGATATTACGACTGTACAAGAAACTTTGGGAAGCGATTAGGATTATCACCGTACGTAGTTTATGAAATGTACACGCTGATTATCAGGTGATTATTATCATCTATGGATAAAATGGAATTTGGCTCGCATTGGAAAAGTACAGAGATTGGTATGCTTGGGTATCTTCATGGCAATCAATAGTCCGCCTTAAGAAGACTTAAATATAATATTACATCTCCTACCATTATGAATGCTTATTCAAGGCATTGCTGCCAAAAGTGCTCTCAGACTCCGAGAGTCTAAGATGTGGAAACCAGCTTATTATGGAGAATAGCAACTCGCCTCAGAGGGCATCACAATGAACAATATATGCCTCCGAATGAAAGTGCTGATAACTGTTAAAACGCGCCTTCTCAACTTAACCTAACATTCACCAAAGCAACAAAAAGTTAGACTCAAAAAAGCAAAGGCGTTGTTGTGCTTGCACGAACTTGGCGAATTTCTAAACATTGTGTTCTCTGATAAAAAAAATTTCTTCATTAAGCAGTCCATAAACTCTCAAAATGATCGTGTTTAATTAACTTAACGCACTGCTGAAAATTTGAGATTACGAATTGCCACCCAAAGTATTTCGATCTCAAGTAATGATATGGGCACTGTGACCGCCAATGGATGCTCTCTCCAATCATTTTCATCGACCATGATGTCTACGTCAATGCGACTTGTTAACGGGAATATGTTTTTATAGCATTGAGCACGCGATCATTTTGGTCGTAGACAAAAGACATTCCAACAAGACTCGACATCGTCTCATAAAGCTGTGAACCAAGAAAAGTTATCTACATTTCATTTCGTCCACACAATGGCTTTCGAACTCGCCAGATGCAAATCCGATGGACAATTCCATCTGGGCCATTTTGAAGATCAAGGTGCGAACTAAAAAATATGCCAGTATGGTTGCGCTCAAGGGAGCACACTGGAAGATCACATTTGTGAAGCATGCAAGTCATTTTTTAACCGTTTGAAAGCCATAGGCAAAAGGTGGTCACATTGACCTATATTGAATGGATTCTGATTATTTCCACAAATTTTTGTAATTCATATCAATAAAAAATAATTTAAAAAAAAAAGATATGGTCGCTTGAATAAGTATTTGAATATTTATTTGACAATACTCGAAACAGCTGTATGTTCAGCCAAAAATTCAATTAATGAAAATAGCACATCATTAGTAACACAAAACTCTAATAAATACATATTGTCAGGCTGTTAAATTCTAAATGTAAAATATATAAATATATTTATGCTGACGAAATTAATATGTCCTCGTGATCGATTCTAAAAACATTTATTTACCAGTATCACAAAAACTGATTGATAATTTTATTTTAATACCATGTTAGAAATATAGTGGACCAGAATATCTTAGGTATGATTTGGGATTGCACAAAAACATGTAAAATTTATTGGCTATTGTCAAAAAAATTCTTTCAGTTTAATTGTTTTTGAGCTTATCATAAAAAATAACTGCTAATATAGATTCAGAAGAATAAATAGAAATTAAAAACAATTATATATAATCTTATTGCATCTTATTTCAAAATTTATTAATAGTTTTATATTATTAAATTTATTTCAGAAGAAAGAGATATTTCGCTTGATGAAATCTATGAGAACAACGAAAAACCTAAATATCACCAACGTAAGTCATGTTTAATCCTTACTCTTTAAATAAAATATGATTAAATGAAGAATATATTTTGCTAAACCGCTAATATTCTCAATAATAATAGTGTATCCACGTTTATTGAAAATAAACTACCACATTAACACTAATATTTTAGTTGTATATATCCAGTCCATCTTGAAAAATGTTTGAGTCTAACAATATTGAAATCTCATTTGGTGCGAAGAACACTCAAAACTATGTCTCGTCAAACTCTGAAATCAAACAATACTTATTGATAAAATCAAATGCATGACAACTGGAGAGAATACTTGGATCTATGCATACAATCTAGTAACAATTGACCAATCATGTAAAAACCGTGCAAAATGTGAGCCAATATCGAAAAGTAAGCCAAAGGGGTTCAAGATTGGAGATCATGTTTACTGTTTTCTTTAATTATTGTGGTGTGGTGTATTATGTTATAAGTTTTTTCCGTTAATTTTATTTGAGCGTTGTGCAATATAGTTAATCGCAGAAAGAATTATTGACATAATACTTCTCCTTTTTGCACCACAATAATGCATTTTCTCACATTCCATTAGTTGTTCGAAATTTTTTGGACAAAACTCATATCGTATGACTTTAATGCATATAAGTATTAAATCATTCATTTGATTTAAAACTGCTTTACTTCCGGATATTCCGTAAACTCCAGACACCGCTCCAGGGACATCTTGTCGACACGATAAAGATGATAAAAATCGATTTGCATGTTTTTCGAATTGAAATTGTTTGTTTTATTTTATTGTATCGGAAGGAAAGTACTTGAATGACGATAAAATGCATTAAGAAGAATAAAAGCAAGACTTTAAAAATAATGAACAATTTCACTTTATCGTTTGATTATTATGTTACAACCGATTATTCTAGAAAATTTTGTATGATAAACATGCACCTTATGTCCTCAGCCTCGTCTATTAGCTTCCTCCAGCCAAGCTGATGTAAAGGATGTTGTCGCCAGTTGATAGTACAGAGTACCTTCGTATACGTATTCTCTACCAACAGATACCGAATCAAACACATTTCTGACTAGAGTACTTCATCCACAGGCAAATTAGCCCGACACGTAACTTATATTTCATTTTGAAATATAATTCACATACAAGGAGATATCTTTGCACCTACAAAAAACAATAGTTATTTTTTGAATTTTTTGTTTTTTAAGCAAGAATAATAATTGTTTTTGTGTTTTTAAATAAAAAGCAGAGTATGAGTTATATATGCGTGGAAAAGTAGAAGGCAAATAATAATAATTATTTTTGAAAAATATAATATAAATGTAAAGCAAATTTAATTACTATTTTTTGAGTTTTATTTTAAAAGGCGAATGATAAGACTTGTTAGTCGATTTTTTTTTTAATAACAACTGTTATAGCTTATCCAGTAAAAAAATTGGCAATTGTAACCTTGTTATTTTTAAAACGAGTTGTATTTTGTTTGGTTTACCTTAACCGGGACACCTAACGGATTTTCCATTGCCACCCAGCTTTTCCTGATAATACCAATTATTTTTTGCCAACGGCAATCTTCTCTTTTACAGCAATATAAATAGAGGGATATAAGTGGCTTAAATATAGTGCGATAATATATACATTTAGTTGTGTTATATTGAAAGAAGCGAGTAGTATTAATAAAGTGGAATTTTTTCTTTTTGTGACACGATTTTATATGGGATATCATGTTTCTTCTTATTGAATTATTGTTTTTATTTTGTTAAAATAATATATTTCTATGTAGTATCAAAAAGTATCTGGATTTTGTTGTTTGTTAATTACTCCATAAGTAATAGACCTTTTTCAAAAATTTTGTTTGTTATGTTGGTACACCCTTTCTTGACAAATGGTACAAATTTGAGCGCCAACTGTCAATTATTTTTACTATGGAAAATTCTTGTTGTACGCGATTTTTTGACCAAACACGGCACACTGTCATTGCTCAGGCATCATATTCGCCAGATCTGGTTCCGTGCGACTTTTTCCTGTTCCCGAAACTCAAATTGCCCCTTCGTGGTAAGTATTTTGAGTCGATTGAATCGGTAAAAGAGAATTCACTGAAGGAACTAAAAGCCATACCTTCACGGGCCTACAAAATGTGTATGGAAGATTGGGTTAAGCGTTGGCATATGTGTATCGCTTCAGAAGGAGCATATTTTGAAGAAGATAAAAAAAATTGTACCTCTATGCACACTACATGTAGATCATTTAGGTCTAATGGACGCTACAGCGAAGAAATATAAACATATTTTGGCGATGGTGGACGGTTTCAGTAAGTTTGTATAGCTGTCTACGAAGTCTACGGGTGCTGACGAAATGTTAGTAAACATAGAGCATTGGCGTAAAATATTTCCTTTATCAATAAGTGATAAAGTAGATTAGATTTACTGAATTTTGCGAGAAGGCACAGATCGACCACGTGAAAACAACAACAGGCGTACCAACAGGAAATGGGCAGATAGAACGGGTGAAGAGAACTATTATTAACCTTATATCAAAACTTTCATGGAAGTGTCCAGAAAAATGGTATTGCTTTGTGGATGACGATCAGCGCGCAATCAACAAATCTGTTCACAGAACACCAAAATTCTCGGCTTTCGAAAGTCTTTTTGGGGTAAAAATGCGAGATGATCCAATAGATAACAATGTCTTAAAAACTATACAAGATGAGCTTGTGGAAAAATTTGATGATGAACGCAACATTCTACGACAAGAAAGAAAACAGCAGATACAACATATAGAAACCGAATATAAGAAAACATTTGACAAAAAACGAAAGCTGGACTGGGTATATAAGATAAGCGACCTAGTTACAATTAAACGCACTCAGTTTCTTTCGGGCAAAAAGTTAGCAAACGAGTACATAGGTCGCTACGAGATTATAAAAGTGAATCGAAATAGTATATACGAAGTTCGTATGGTGGGCAATTTTGAAAGACCAAATACAACTTCAACAAACAGCGACTATATGAAACTATGACAGTATGCAGAAGTAGATGAGGAATTGTCATCCGGGTCGGATGAGAAGTTGGATGGCCGAGTGTAGGCAGTAATTCTTAGGCTTGGCAACTCTGCGTTTAGCAAAGGAAAAAAGCAGAAAAGAAGCAAAGTAATGGTGGGAAGTTAATGTCGGAGATTGGTCATGTTTTCGTGCCCGCGTGATTAAAGTTATGTTGTAATAGTAGTTGAACATTTAATGAACAATAACTAAACTGAATTATACAAATATTGTTTCTTATATAAATATTATAATAAAATAACTGGAAATTCAAATATTATTTCCTATATATATATATAAGTGACAATTTTTAATAAAAAACGATTTTTTGATTTTTGTATAAAAATTTTATTTTGTACCTTGTATGATGCAAGCTTAATTACGACTGACTAAAAAAAGGTTTTACCTGCTTAGCGCAGCAAGTTCTTTTTTTGTTCAATTTAATGATGTTGGGAGAGAGCTTAATGTCACTCCTCCCACCTTAAAAATAAGCAATATTCCTATTGCGTTAAATACACATAATATTTCATATATTTTATAATATTTTATATTATATTTTATAAAGGATAGTTGTAATAATAATATCTGTTTTAATTGATATAAATTTATACAATACAATATATAAAAATAATAAAAAAAAATACAATTTCATTTATGACATTAATTTCTTCAAATTTTCTTCTTTTTTTTTTTTTAAAATATACGTTAATTATATTAATATAATCTATTTTAATTTTTTTTAATCCATTTTAATAGTTTACAAATATATTTTATAAGAGATGATTATAATAACAGTATTCGTTTTAATCGATATAAATTTATACAATACAATTTCATTTGTGACTATTTTAAAATTTTTTTTTTCGTTTAAATTGACTTTTATATTTTCTTATATTCTTGTTTTTGAATTTAACTAAAAAGTGTTCATTGTCACTATCAGCTCGAACTAATGCTACTTGCTTAAATGGATTTTTTGTTTTATCAAGACGTTTTCTCACATTTTCAGCGTTGATTAAACCAATATTTATCGAATTTTCTTTTCGTGTTTTATTTAAATTGTTAATTCTATTTTCTTTAATGAGTTGTGAGTCAAATTCTGGAGGTAATCGGTTAAAAAATATGTTATATGGAGTTTGACCAGTAGTAGAATGTATTATGGTGTGATTATATGTGAAAACGGATTGTTCGAATTGAACATATTTTAGTTCCCTGTCATCTGAGGTGTTAATTATTCTAAGTTTTTCATTCAAGGTTTTATGGAAACGTTCAATGTCTGCTATACCGGTTTTTCCAGTACAAACTTCTATTTTAATATTTAATTCATTACACCATTCTTTGATATTGACGTTATTAATGCCTTGATCTTGGTCAATTTTCAATACTTTAGGAGGTCCCATTGTGTTAAATATTTTAATAAGAGCTCTCTTTGTTTCTAGCCAATTTAATGCTTGTACTTCTTCAATTGTACTGAATTTTGAGTACAAATCTATACATGTTAGAAAATGTTTTTTTTCCCATTCCCAGAAATCTATCACATATTTTTCTCTAATTTCGTAAACTGGAGGAGTGATTTTAAATGGCATTTTGTTTGCAACGTGGTCATATTTGCATCGATTGCACAAATCACATTCATTGATGATTTTAGTAATTTCTTTAAAATAGTTAGGAAAATAATATCTTTTCTTGAATTGATATATAATTTTTTCAATTCCTTGATGAAGTCCTTCTAAGTGGATTTCAAGAATTTTAGTTTTAAAGTCGGTGTAATTAGGGATATTTTCCAGTTCCTTACTTGCTCTCAGAATCTTATGACGTCTATTGCAAACCAAGGTTTTGAAAATATTTTGAAATCTTAAAAAGTCTTCATTATTTGGCATAAAAATAGCCATGGTATTAGTTAGTAAAAATGACTTTATAATGTCTTTTGTTTGTTCAGTATTTAATTCTATATATTTAATTGTGGTAACACAATTTTTGAATAT